AGGAGGCATAACAAAATGTAATTTTATGACTCCCCAAGGCAGACATCAAAAAGAGAAGGAGAGTTAATACCAGCTACTGTGCTGGCTGATGTTTGTATATGTTTTTTAAACTAAAAGAAGCTTTTTATATATGCATTCATCAGCTTTCCAGTGACAGAAAGGGTTGAGAACCACAGGACTCCACAAATCTGTAGAAACCTATGATTTTCATGGAATTTGCTGAGACTAACCTGGTAAATTCATTATAGTTTAATACCCATGACATGAAAGGCCATAAGGGTTTATAAATACATGAAAACGAGAAGAAAAACATATGCTCAAATAATTCTCAAAATAAATGTATCTGCTCATTCCTGCTTAGATGCATGTGTCCCTATGTGTTGTTTGTTTTATTCTTTATCATTAACATAATAACAATAAACATGGGCATATGTCACACAACATATGATACAAAACTGTAATAGACACAATGCATCTATTATGTTAAAACCGGATCTGAGCAAGAAATGTTTCCTTTAGTCTTAGCCCTCGTTCACACCTGAACGTTTTGTAGCGCGTTCTACGCTCGACGAATGCTCTACAAAACGCTCAAAAATCTAAATCCCATTGTATTCAATGGTCTCGTTCCCACCTTGGCGTATTTCCGCCCGTCCCTAACGCGCTACAAAAGGGCCCACGCCTGAAAAGGTACAGGTACTACTTTGGGCCGTTTTGTTGCGCGTTTCCATTGGGATACAGCCAGGTAGCCTTCAGAAACGCGCAACTTTTTTACGACGAATCGCGGTAAAAAAACACGCGACAGACGCGCATATGCAATACGCCTAGGTGTGAACGAGACCTTAGTGTGGAAGGGCTAGAACGTGAGAGATTTCCCCTCACTGGATGTCTCAGGGACCCCACTATGACACCGGGACTAGAAATAAGGAATACATGCGTCTTCAGGACACCAAGGCATGCACAGCAATAACAATCTGAGAATTGTACCTTTCCCCACTCTGCTAAAGAAATGTTTTATTGCTTTCTCTTTTCCATTTTGGAGAGATTTTACATTACTTTCTGTGCCTTCGACTCCCTGTCACTAGGACAAGAAGTTAAAGGAAAACTCCCCATTGGGGGCACATATAGCAGAAAAACCCTAAGAGAGGTTATAAAACTTCCCTATCAAAAACAAAAATTTGAATTAGAGCGAGTTAGGCTTTTAACTTAAAGCTGGACTTCAGGCAGGTTACTAATTATGACCCAAGCTTCCCGTCTATAAGCACATTGTAAATGTGAATATTTTATTCTTCAAAACAACCCAGTTTCTCAGTAAAGTACCTTTTAGAAATTGGTGACATAATTACTGTGTAGTGGAAACCTCAGCTATGCCCTAGCTAAGAAAGCAAGTATTAGAGAATCCCACATGTCACTTTGCAGGCCACAGCTTAGTGGGCGGGACAGAGCAGGGTTGTAGACATCAATGGGACGTGATATTGGATGGGTTTTTTAGACACATTTCAGGCAGCCACAGCTTAGTGGGCAGGACAAACCAGGAGTCTGAAATGTCTGGATCCTCCACTACAGCCAGCAGTGGCGTCATTACGTCTCCATAGGTAACAAGGAGCTGCTGTGGGGATGTTACATGACTGGTGGCCTGGAGACAAAGAGTCACAGCGGCCATTGGTCTTACAAAGATATTAGGGACACTGAGCCTTTATTATTTATGTTTTCACAATGGCTGCATCAGTGGATTAATACAAAAGACCATATTTGTTGACGGTGAGCACAATGCTTTAAAATTTCTGTCCGGAGTTTAGCTTTATCCATGAATTAAGGAATAAAATGTAGGGCTGCAACTAACGATTATTTTCATAATCAATTAGTTGGCTGATTATTTTTTCGATTAATCGGAAAATGTGATAGCACATTGGAGGTGACAGGTTCTCTTTAAGGTGACATTAGGGGTATTAGACCCCTAGTGTTACCTTTCCACTACACTAGGGAATGACAGCTGCCTGCTGAGGCTGCTGAATGTAAACACAGCAGGCAGTGGCTGGGAGCAAAAGCCAGCCTGCTACTGGCTATTTTAACCAGTTGACATCCACGGTGTTAAACCCCCTTCCCATCCAGGCCATTTTTCAGTATTCAGCGCTGCGGTACTTTGACTGACATTTATTCCGTCATGCAGCGCTGTACTGAAATGAATTTTATATCCTTTTTTGGGGACAGATAGAACTTTCTTTTGGTGGTATTTATTCACCACTGGGGTTTTTATTTTTTTACTATATTAAGGAAAAATTACCGAAATTAAAAAAAAACAAAACAGTTTCCCCTATATTAAATGATAAAACATTTATTATTACCCAATTTTTTGGTAAAATATAAAAGACGGGGTCACGTCGGGTAAAAAGACAACAAACATGTCAAGCCTTAAAATTGCGTGTGCGAAACCTCAGAAAACGATAATACCCAAAATTGGCCATAGGCGACGCTTTAAAAGCTGTTACCGCTCATC